TATTACACTTTGGAGCAAGCGAGCATCGTTCGCACTCCAGGTAAGACAAATCCTGCTGCAATTTTGTCACCAATGTAAGCCCCAAGCTGACTTCCCGCTTGTTGCGTATGCACCCATAGTGGGTACTGTCCAGGGTTTCAAACCCCAGGGGATGCACAAAAGCCTCCCACAACAGCCCAAGCCCAACTTAATACTTTCTTTCTGGGAGCTGGTAGGGGAGTAGCCCTGGGTAGAGGTTGCCCTGGGTAGATGTCTGCCACCTCGTGGTCGTTCATGCGAACAGTGGCCAACCAGATGAACAGTTAGATTGAGGTGGAACGTGTTACAAACTGTCAATTAGGCTTAACAAGCTCCCGGGTGGTCCATGGTTCATGCGCCTGTTCAGTTCCCAAACAGAATAGAGAAAGGACACGAACCAAGCCAGTTAAGTAGTCTTTTACAGGTTTCCCTGCAGGGCCCATAGTATGCGGGAAGGAGGCTGGTAAGCAAGCTGTTCCAGGAGCCCGTGGCAAACTCACATTTTCAATCAGAAGTAACTTACTTTAAAAGTTTGTATCTCTTGCTCTGTAAAATGAACTTTAATTATATACAGGAGGATGGTCTAGCAAACTAAGAAAGCAATCGATAGAAAATTCTAAAATAAACAGAAATGTATTGAATAGCGGTGGAGAAATGTGGAAGCATAACACTATGCAGAAATATGCTGAGCAAGGAATGAGGTTACAGGGTTTCTTTGTCAAACCCAACATTTTTGTTTAACTAAGGGAGGTTGGCAGTGGCCAGTTGGCACCATAACTACAACAACAGGCTATAGTTGTTATGGAGCTTAGTGTACTCATTTGAACAGGATATTTGATCAGGTTCATTTGATCATGCATACCGTATGATAAAAAACACACACACATGCTTTCATGTATGTCCCATGATCAAATAACTAGAACCTGATCAAAATATGTATTTTTTTTTACTGTATGATAAAAAAATAAATAAAAAAAAACACACACATGCTTTCATTCTGTGTAATGTGAAAATAATTTATCTGCCTTCATTTTCTGTAAACAAATTAGCAAATATATAGAAACAAACATTTTATTACATTTTAAATCTATAGTTATCCCTGAGAATATATGCATGACATTATTATAATAGTGATATAATGAATTAAAAAAATAAAATATATAAATATTTTGAATGGCGGAGCCAGCCCCTGAATGAGCTAGACGCAACTTCCATAGCTCCGCATCTTAGTTCCGATAATACAGATTTTTCAAGGCCTGATACTTAATTACTGGGCTCAGAGGGCTTCTTGAGCACCCTGATATTTCACAGGGACATCTCCAGACATACCCTCACATGATGCAGAGCTTTTCGCCAAGTAACACAGCAACTTTAGGAAAATTCTATCCCTTATAAGTGGGGTCCTCACCGCTTAATGGCGGAAAAAGCTGGCAGAACTCGCATCTCTCTGAGGTTCCAACTTTCTTCCAGTCCTTGGGTCTCCCAGCGACAGCAGCTCCAACAAATGCCCGTCCATCCAGAAATAATTCCCTTTGTTCCCAGAGGAACAGTGCAAAGAACTGCTGACTTTCCGACTTGAGATTTGCAGTTGCCAACCATGTGTCAACTTATATTGTTCCATACTGTTCTATTTACAGTACATCGTTTTCGGTTTCATTTATTTGTTTGTTATTTTATGTTGATATACTGAATCAAATCTATAATCAGGCTCCGTAAGCCGACTGCCAGATACATAGCCTAAGCAATATTTTCCTTTCCCTTGTTGAACGTGCCAAGCTATATTCTCAGCATTCTATGCTATTTACCACATGTTCAGCTACTTACTTGGAGTACCTTACCCATTACAAGATAAATGTCCAAAGCCCTGGATAACGGCAGGCCATTATGTCCCCGTTTTTCCAGCCAACCAGCATTAGATTGATATTTCGTATGTGTGGAACTCTTGCGCTTATTAATAATATGAATGAATTGTATTGGCAATAGCTGCTGTAGCACTCTATGGGTTACCCTATTGACCCAGAAATCAAACCGTAAACAAAATAGATGAAGAATATTTTGAAATATGGCGCTATTGAGCGCAAGGACATTGTAGTTTTCTCTTTCACTAAATGAACGAACTGAGAGTGACACACGGGATTAGCCCGATACGTCATTTCCACCATTCGTATAAAGAAGTAGCATACAAACAATGTACAAAGTCAGCCCAACACGTCACTTCTGCCATTCGTACGGATTAACAAACGAAGGATTAGTGAAAGCACATGGTTCCGATAATGCCCCCCACCAAACGAACATACACACACTCACTCTACTGAAAGGTGGTCTCTGTTACTACCTTAAAGGAACAGAAAGCCAGCATGTTCAGAGCCATAACGTCAAAAGTCTCTTTAATTGTGAGCCTTCCCTTTTTAAAACAAACTTTTTTTTTTTTATTGTAACAATATCACACTATTATATTTTTTCTCTGTCTTTTCCCGGCATGTGTATGAAAACATTTTATAATGCATGGGTAAGCTATGAATCTTGTTAGTGCTGCACTTTACACTGTTTGTGTCAAAAAGGGGTAATATCACCTAAACCCTGTCTAAAACAATTGTGTTTTTTGTTTACAACCTGTGCATTAACCTGTGTACGGCAAAATACCCCACCATCACTTTGCAGGGCACATAACGCCAATTACCTGCACCTTCCAAGACATGAGTTTGACCCAATAATTAAAAAATTGGTGGATACCTTACCTCTGCTGATATTCGTGCTAAACACAGTTTTCTCTATCTACTGTTCTTTTATGCACATGGTGTAAAGTGATATTTATGCATGCCCGCAAAAATAAAGAATTTAAACAAAAAAAAAATATATATATTATATATATATATATATATATATATATATATAATTAACGAAGAAGATAACAAAGATGGTTCAGTTAAGGATACCAGGGTTGCAATGATCATATCCAATCAACCAGTAGTACAGCCCAATAGCATTCAGTTAGGGCTAGTTTTACAGACGTATAAGCAGAATGTTTTGACAAACACACCAAGCAGAATTATGATGATTTTGCAAGACCACGTGAAAGAATTGTAGGAGTCACACAGCTTATAAGATTATAAAATCAAGTCTAATATAGTTCATATGATAAAGCCACTAAAATGTCAAAGAAATCCCATAATACAATCTTCCTTTGCACCAAGCATGAAATGTTACTTTAGGTATTTACTTGTAGCTTGGAAACTTGTTAGAGTTACAACAATGTAACATTTATCATTCTCTGCCAATGCTGGCAAGAAAACATAATGAAAATAGCACATTTTGTAAAAATTGCAACACAACTTTTGGTTCCCAAGCACTTCCTAGTACTGTGGTTGTTAAACGTGTATCCATTCAATTATTGCTGGATTACATTTCCATGAAGCAACAATCAGATAATGTAAAATTGTATTTCTAAAAAAAAAATTATAAATAAAGCCGCCAATAATGGCAGATCATTTTGCAAAGTTCAAAGCCATTTCATTCACTGAGTTTCGCTGTCCACGCTCTGAATTGTCATCATTACTAGGGAAGCAAAACTTCATAAGATAAAACATAAAATAAAAGTTCATAATCAGAACACAAACATTGCTATACTGTTTTTATGGTCACCCTTCTACAACATGTTCTGCAGAAAAATATAATGCTAGTGTTTTATGGAAGATAAGAAAGAGCTACTTTCAAAGTCCAAACTTCAATTACTCATAATTAGGAGGTCTGGCTTTAGATGTTTTTCTCATTGCAGATTATTCCCACAGCTCCTCCCTATTCCACAGAGACAGCCCATGACAACACAATGTACCAAAATAAACATCAAATACATACAGAGGATAGCTCCTGTGTCTGTTTTAATAAGTTATACCACTGTGCAAATTCTTCATAAGTAGATTGATGGCTACCACAAGGGGTTAATCTTGTTAAAGTGATTCTCCCCAATTACTTTCGATATATATATATATATATATATATATATATAGATAGAGGATAAAGAGATGCACTCTCAGGACTTTGAAAAAAATAGTTAATTTATTCCAGCAGGTATAACATCAAAGTTTGCCGACGTTTCGACCCATTCGGGTCTTTCTCAAGGTCATATATATATATATATATATATATATATATATATATACACACACACACACACACACACACACACACACTAAAATAAAAAACAGCGCAAATTTGCCTTCATCAATGCAAATCGACCATTATATATGGCATAGTATTTTTTTACATTGTAGTGGTTATTTCACAGCCTTTTAAGAGTAGCCATGCTGAAAATGTAAATATGAATATACACATAAATGCACACAAAAATCTATATGGATTGTATTAATAATGGAGTAAAGCTGAGAACATAAAGCACCCCTTTAACATTATACATTGATTAAATTTTTTTTTTTTTAAAAGCTATATTTGACCAATACTCAAGAACGCTGCACAAACAAACAAGGGCAGGAATGAACAGATTAATTTGGAAGTCAGAAATCTGCAAATAGACTGTTTACACAAGGAAGGGGATGATAGTGCCATGCCAAGTTTAAGTAACACACAAGGTCAGCAAACAGGACTGCACTCCTCAATAAAACCCTTAGAACCTGCTGCAGTATAGTATTTATACTCCCATTAGGCAGTGGCACTGAAAGAATAATAAATATGGTACCCACGTTTTATTCCAATTTAGTAACAGGTGAAGGCTGCAGGACCATGACAAACCCCCTAGGATTAACTCTTTCTGAGCTACTCATTTAATTTTTTTACCAGGAGCACACAAAATGTAAAATTCTAACTAATCTATTGAATGCAAGGAGGGTGCATACATAATTGCATTTTAAAGGGGTTAATTGGATCCTTCATTCATTTACCATTTCCCCATCTGAAGACTGACACAATAATCAATGAATGCATATTTTTGTCTCATATAGAAAATTATCAGAGAATGAGTGAACTCACCACATGACCAAGAGTCCTGAATGTTGCACTCAACAATAAGATTTTCCATTTCTCTTCTACGTTGTCTGGAAGGGGTTGATAGATGTAATAAGCCAGCAGCAATGTCACCAGTCCAAAGCAGAGTAATTTGGATGCCATGTCTAAATGCTCACTAAACGACTAAAGTGATTAAGCACCTTCTCATAAACTGTGACAAGTCAGCAGCAGACACTGATAGGGGAAAGTTAATCTGCTGGACCTAAGCTCCTGTGTATCTGATCATCAGAAGCAGTGCACACAGCCTGCTTGCAACAGCCAGTTAGAAGGCGTGTTAGCAAGCTCTTTAACAAGCAAGCAAATTGCATGTACTCAAAGTTAAGTTTATACTGCAGTCACAATGTATCTGACAGACTTATTGTTATTACAGTTTGTCCTTCCACCCAGCATGCATATTGCAGGGTTCATTAGCTGAAATTAATTATGTGCGCTTTTAGAAACCATGCAGGAAATTGCATGCAAATGTTAAATGTATTAAATTACCAGAGACCTTAAAGGCAGCTTTGCTAGTTTATGGGATTGACATTTCAGTAAAAAATGTGAATCCATTGGTTTACTTTCTCCTGTCATAACATTGAAATCAGCAAATTGGAGGTTTGTTCTTGACAAATAGCATAACAATAAAATTTAAAAAGAAACAAACAAATTTCTAGTAATTTTAAACAAATACTGAGGAAAACACAAACTCAGCCATATCGGTTTGTTTGCTAAACCATCTGGACATTGTTCATTATATTTAAAAATGTTTCAATTTTGTAATTTGGTTCCGAAATAAGTCAGAATTTTTTCTGGATTTCAACTAGACCAGACAATGCCAGACAGCTGAACTATAGACTCTGATGCTTAAAATCCTGGAGCAATACTTACAGGGACACTCAAGACTCCTAAAGCAATTCAGCTTGTTGAGGTAATTTATGTGTTATTTTTAATAATTTTTTATAAAAAGAGCAGATTTTAATAGAAATTTAATTTGTTACACCTCCCTGGCTGTAAGTCAGACAACAGGTCCTGTTATTTCCTGGTTTGGTTAGCTCAGTGGAGCTAAGAGGCAGCAATTACTCAGAGCACCTGCCTTACAAATAATTCACATTGAGCTGCACTGGGAAATCTGTGATTGGACAGCCACAGAAAGTCTACGCTGGGGAAGAAGGGGAGGGCTTGCAAAAGGCTGTAAGTGATCTGCAACTTTTCGTGCTCTTTTGAGATTTGGTCCCCAATGAAAATGCATAAATAAATGTATGCATGTTTTCATTGGGGGTATTTATACTAAACAGTGACTTTTATTTGTTAGTATTTGGACAGTGGAGTGTCAATTTAAAAGAACTGCCAGTGGCCAAACAATGGAAAGGAAAAAAAAACAAACCTTGGCTGTGCAAGGATTGACTACGGGGCAGCAGGCCATTGCTTGCTAGTCTGCCACCACATTAAAAAGTTGTTTTTTTTAAAGCCTGTGTTGCTATAGGGAAGTGTAAGTGGTGGCATATGGGAGCTTTGTTATCCTCCCTAAAGTTAGGTTGGGGTCATATCACTCCCATATCTTTTTTTGTTTTAACATTATACAGGGATATTTACTAAAGTGAGAAATCAAAGTCAATTTCAAATTTAAAGTCAAAATTACAGAATTGGAAAAAATATTGTTTTTGCATATTTCCATTCAGTCCCAATTTAGCTTTTTTTTTTTTTTTTTTTTAAGAAAGTATTTCCAGTTCGCCTGTTTTTTAATTTAAATGTAAAATTCATTTTGAATAACCCTGTGTGTGTGTATGTAGTAACACTGCATTACTAAACATTCTGTTTTGCCATTCTGATTTAATTCACAAAAATTCTAAATTTAATGACTTTCACGCATTCAAATGACCTCAGATTAAGCATTTAAGGAACTGAAGTTGAAAAATCTGTGTGCACTTGAGTGGGTTAAAGGGACTTAAAAAGCTCCATTGCCTAAAAATGATCTTTAGACCTTGATAAGGATTTTGATTTTCTAATAAACCTTGGCCAGAAGGTTATAATATAATGGCATGAATTCAGTTCATGCAAGTTCTTACACGGGAATCAGTATTGTACGTGCCCATGTGTTTTCACTGCAATTAGTCAAGCTAATTACATAGTTTGAGATTTTAAGCGCTTTGTGATCATGTGTATGGCATCACAATCACAAAAGAGGATGCATCGTAGCAGAGTACCTGAAAAGTAAAACCTAAATCAGTGAGCGACAGAGATAGCGTGTGTGTGTGCCGTCACACCTGTATGATCTTGTTGGATATCCCATTACAATACCATGGGCATTAATATGGAGTTAGCACCATCACTCATCTGGAAAAACTTTCCACACAATTCTGCATTGTATCTGTGGGGATATGTGCCCAATCAGCCAAAAAAGCGTATGTGAGGTTAAAGGACCACTATAGTGCCAGGAAAACAAACTCGTTTTCCTGGCACTATAGTGCCCTGAGGGTGCCCCCTCCGGGCTGAAAGGGTTAAACTCTTACCTTTCTCCAGCACCGGGCTCCCTTGTCGCTGGGAAACTCTCCTCCCTCTTCCGACGTCAGCACCGAATGCGCATGCAAGAGCCACACACGCATTCAATGAGACCATAGGAAAGCATTGATGTCAGCATCTTCTCACTGTGATTTTTCACCGTGAGAAGTGCGGAAGCTGGATTAACCCTAGTGTAAACATAGCAGTTTCTGTGAAACTGCTATGTTTACAGCTGCAGGGTTAACCCTAGATGGACCTGGCACCCAGACCATTTCATTGAGCTGAAGTGGTCTGGGTGCCTATAGTGGTCCTTTAAGCACTGATTTTAGAAGAGAAGGTCTGACTCACAATTGGCGCCCCAATACATTTCTGGTCAGGAATTTATGCAGGATACTCGAGTTCCTCCACACCTTGCTTAAAAAGACAAAAGTTTTAGGTTTTGCTCATGTTTCATGCATGTTTACATTCTTTATTATTATTATTATTATTATTATTATTTTATTATTTATATAGCGCCATCAGATTCCATAGCCCTGTACAATGGGTGGACTAACAGACATGTAATTGTAATTAGACAACTGGACGCAAAGGGGGTGGAGGGCCCAGCTCAATGAGCTTACATTCTAGATGGAGTGGGGTGTAGTGACACAAAGGGTAAAAGTAGGGCTTTTATGTGGCTTTTCAATACTGAAAACTTTTGTTTTTATATGGTTTTAGAGATAATGCTTGATGTATACTGCAGATCCTAAGAGTCCTCCATTCTATATTTAAAAGTCTAAGTTGATATATTCAGTACAACAGATTGTTTATTGAAGAATCAGATTTTGACACAACTTACTATTTATGTTGCGAGTCCCCATCAGCTTATCCCATATGTGCTGCTTAGGATAGTGAGTAAACATTAGCCTAAACAGAAATGTTGGCTGTGATTGGCTGAAAGTGTCAGCTGATTACTTGCAGTGTCTTACAGTGCCCATTGATGGCATAACTAGGTATGGAACTAAATGTGTTACCTGTGCCATAGCCATGCCTCCAGTAGGAACTGTTGGTGGCCAGGGACTCTTATTTAGTTTTTAACTTCCTCACTCCAGGAAACCTATTTTCCACTGAAAATGGTTTAACTCTGAATGGAGTAACAGTGTCAGAGTACTCCAAGAATTATAACCACTTCAATGAAATAATCATGCCCATTATCATGTCCCTTTAAGTTGACCCTCCACTGGAACTAAGGGCTCTAGCCAATGCCCTGAAATATAGTAGACCTTGGTAGGTAGCATTCGCCTGGCATCCATTACACTCTTCCACCAGACTTCCAGATAGTGAAGCATGGTTCCTCTCTCTGGGGAGTCCATTTCCACTGCTCCAGAGTCCAGTGAGCTTTGCATAGCTCCAGCCAACATATGGCATTACACTTATTGATGTGTGCGACGGCAGTCACCATCACCAAGAGCTTAAGATGGACAATTCAATTAGGTATCTGAACGATTTATATGTTTGTTACCCTGTGTCCATTGTGGGTGCAGGGTGTGTGTGTAATGTGGTTGTTTGGGATTACATTTTTGTGTGCTCTTCTGTTTTGCTAATGCTTGCAATTAACTAGGCAGATTTGGCTGTGTAGTCTGTACATCGCCACCTGTTGGGTGCAAGGATCTAGCAACACAAATATGCACTACTTGAATAGAAAGACTTGCCAATTTGCACATTCAGGTAGATTTGCATATTGCTAATTCTGCAGTCAGGAGAGATATTTTCTGTAAAATATTGTCTTTCCCACCCCTTTATAAATATGTAATTGTGCTATAATAAGTTGCTGTATGTTGTCGGCTATGATTTGACTGTTTGTATTTTTATTGAGTTGTCACATTAATCTAAATGTTGTGAGCATACGGGCTAGTCCTGCCTAAAAATGCTAGAAAGGGGCTGAAGCTTTCCAGGGTCCCTGCAAGGGGCTATGAAGTGGATTGGGTGGAGGTACTCGGTCGGAGTACAGGCGCTACATCACAATGTAAGGTTTGTGTAAAGCGGCTCAGCCATGGAAATCTATTTCAAGAACCTCTCAATTCATAGTTCTTGTACGTCTTTTGTTTTATAAGTATATTTATTATAAATAAAACTAATGTTTTCATATTTTGGAATGCATGGATTATCTGTTTATGAATTTTATAGTTTAGGGAAGTTAGGGACTCATCTTTGTCTGTTTGTCCCTTACAACAATTGCATGGCTATAGTTCTTGGGTCTTCCCTTACTATACTGATATATGTTAAATGGTATATCATCATAAATGTAATTCCAGGATACTGGAGTATTAAACAATAAGTGATCTGAGATTTTAGGATTTTTTTATAGAATAAGGTGCACATCCTAATTCGATTTGAGTTAAAAAAAAAATTCTGGCCTTTCTAATTTGAACACTTTAAAACATAGTTTAGAGGTACTAAGAAAGTTAGAAATGTATTATTTGTTGTATTTCAGAACAATTATTACGTACTTGAAAGTCAAGGGTATTCCTAGGACAGAGTATGCATGTTTTAGTACTCAATATGTTAACTACAACATCTTCAACATGCTTACCCCTGGCCCTAGGAGATAGAAACTGTATATCAGACCAGTTGTTTTGTCATAAAAGACCAGGTGGGAAAGAGAAGATTTTAAACAAATGTAACCTTGACCTCATTGCACTGACAGTGGATTTGTTGAAATGTAGGGGCATTTTAAGAGATTTTTATGTGGACATATAGAACAATATGAATTCATTTTTGGACTTCATTGATTAATTGGAATGCCTTGCGC